GACCGAGGGGCCTGAGCGCCCCCAGAGCCGTGTCCAGCGCGGGGCCGGGCGGGAGGTGAAGGCTAGTGCCCCTCCTCACCTTGTGAAAACACCAGGCGCGGTTTTCTTCTTGGGGCCGGCTGAGCGAGCAGCTCCCTGGCTTCCCGCAGCACTTCCCGGTGCTTGCTCTAGGCCTGTCCCGTCTGGGAGCAAGGCAGGGTGGGTGAACCTTGTCCCCACCTCTGCCTTTCTCTGCTCCCGGGCTGCTAGCAAACTGTCGGTTCCATATTGCCCACCAAAAGCTAGCAAAGAAATTGTGATGAACAGGGGCTTTTAAGTCTCTGATTTTTGTCCGTGCTGCAGTTGTTAGCCACTAACGTCACTAAAGTTGCAGAAATTACAGTGGAGGCGAAATGCGAATGTTTATTCTTTACTTGTAATTAAAGATGGTTCCTGTATCCTGGAACCAGTGTTTGGAGAGTAGTCTTCCTAGCTTTTATAAATGTTATCTGCTTCTATTCAATTGGCAACCGGAGAAGGTGACGTTAAAAGAGAGCTCATTGCAGATAGGCCCGTGTGAGGGTTTTGTAATAGTGCTGTAGCAGGTCAGGCTATTAGAAAGGCTTAGCTATTGGCTAGCACCGATGGAAAATCATAGGAACAAGAATCACTGCCCACAAAAAGAATGTTTCCTATTTATTCAGGGATTTTTAATTTCTGCTTTGTATGGTGAAGCCTGTTCACACCCGTGCTCAATTACTTTGGTAGATCTGGCTGCAACGCATATTGTTTCTCTGAAAGGGCTGGAGCAGGCACTCTGAGGAGGAGTGGGCTCTGCAGTCCCTGGTCCCTGTGGGATGATGCCCTCTTCCCAGGCAGCACGTACCTGGAGCTGGCTGTCTGGGTGCTCATTCTCTGTATGACCACAGAAAAAGGGAGAAGAAGGGCGAAGAAAAATTCCAAATGTGAAGGGAGGAAGCAGTATAAGTTTCTCTTCTGCTGAGCTGTGTATTCTGTCCTGCCAATGTCCTTGTGCTTAGAGAAGTGAAGAGAGAGAGCTTTAATGGGTGGTAGTGTTTTATTTTAGCTTAGAGTGTAGTGCCCTTTAGTTCTGGCATGGAAGAGATGACCATGAAATCTGAAGTTCTCGGTGTGCCAGCTGGGGTGAAGTTCAGCTGTTCAGCTTCAAACATGTCTTGAAGGAAAAAGAGGCATTTTAAAAAAAAACTACAGAAGACAGCAGTGGCACTGGGCTCCATTATCAGTATATTATTATAGTCCTCATTGATGTTACATACAGCAAAAACCACTGCTGTGTCTTGTCTATACATAAAATTTACCATAATTGTGGCTGAGGACAATTTACTAGATTGCTTTGCTTTGAAAACTCAAAAGCTAGAGCAGCTGAAAAAGCATTGAAAGTTGCCTGATGTACTTAAGTTCCCCACTCATGCAGCAAAGGCGGAGGTGTAAAACCATCTACAGAAACTGGCAGTGGATGGAGCAACAGCCAGCGTCTCAATCAGTAAGAATTACAAACTCTTGCAAGGCACTTAGTTGTGTGAGGGAATTAATTTTATCTCTGTCGCATTGGGAGTGAGTTTGACTAGAAGGAGAAGCTGAAGTGGTTACTCTTCGTATTTGAAGCAAATGTCCTATGTAATCCAGAAGTATCAGTTGATTTGGGAGAAGGGTGACAAGCTTTATTTCAAGAAAATAACCCTTTTTTCCCCCCCATGTCTATTTATAACTCTTTGAAGCTTGGGCCTTTTACCACGCTATGGATCAGCTGGGTCATGTGACAGGTGCTGCTCCTGCCCAAGGTGCCAAAGAGGGGCCGAGCAAGCCCGCTGCCCCCCAGAAGAACGCCTACGCCAGGCTTGTGCAGAAGCACCACAGCGGCCGCTTCCAGTCCTACCTGAACCACATCGCTGAAAAGATGCAGCTGGGAGACAGCAGCTCCAATGACCTCGCCGCCGATCTGGACCCACCCCTGAGGAGAAGCCTGGTGAAGGATAATCCAGCCAGGAATGGGTTGAATGTACACAGCTCTTCACCGGTCAGAACATCTCACCTGGAACAGCCCACGCCTGGAGGATTTGAGAATGATAAACCCCAAAGCGCTCTGAACAGATGTCCTCATAAAAAAAGTGCCATCGTTGGTCCAGAAGGAGAGCTGGAGGTGGAGGAGGACTATTATGTACCTCAGCGTGGAGCTGCAGCTGACTTATTAAACATGAGCGATGCCTTGGGTGGGAGGGTGTCACACAGCCTGAGACACCGGGCAGCTCTGCAGAAGTCGTCTGGTTCTGATGAAAAGGATGAGGAGGACACATGGAGGAAGAAACCTAAGAAACGAGGCAGGTGTCCTGCCAACAGAGATGCAGCAGCTGGACACTTGTTGACTGAGCAGTACAGTGAGGATGTGCTGGCAGTAAATGCCAGGAAAAGCAGTCACTTGTCTCCCGGTCAAGTTCAAGGTGAGTTCACACTAATCATTAGTGGACTGTTTGGTGCATTTGCTGCAATTACTGTGGAATCGAATGTGGTGTTTAGTCATGGGTGAGTTAACATGAGCCAGTTCTACTCTGTCCAAGTTAGTCAGCCATGAGTTACCTGTGGGTGGCTTTGTCCTGGTTTGCAAGTAAGCCATCCAGCATGTGCAAATGGCTTCATGTGGGTCCAGCCTGGTGATGGCAGGACCTTGGTCTGAGCTCTGTGAATGTGGCTGTTCTGCTTCCAGGATCAGCTCAATGCTAGCAGAGCCCAGTTTCTGTGGGATAGAGTTCAAATTAATAAGACTGTTGGATCTGAGCTGACTTAGGGCAGAGACATGCTTTTCTTTGTGTTGCCTCTTTGGATCTAGAGTGTTGGTTTGCCTTCGCAGAGGGTCAAAGTCCATCCACGAGTCAGGGGCTGAGGTGCCTGTGTAATACCAAATTCCTGATACAGACTGTTGACTTCAGTATTTTTGCTGTTAGTAACAAGGAGACCACATCTTGCAGTAGTAAAGAGAATGTCTCTCTCAGATGTTTAAGGCAAAAAGCCCACTTATGGGGGTAAATAATTTTTTTAATTAAAAAAAGAAGTCCCCAAAACACAGTATCAACCAGCCACCAAAGGCAGGCAGTTTAAAACTGATCTCTCAGTGTAAGGGGTTAAAACTTCCTCTGAATGTTATTTATGGTGAAATACTTAGGGAGCCTGATCTTAGGAGCTACTATTGAAGGAACTCATAAATGTCACCATATTAAATTCTCTGTAACAAGTAGAAAAGAGATTGATTTCTCAGCTGGGTAAGATGGACCTAAAACCTATCACAACTCTTGGATTGGAAATGAAGTAAATGTTTAACTAAATCAATCTTAGAAAACTATAATGTATCACCCAAGTGGCAAGTAATGTGCTTTTTTCAGGATTTGTCGTATTTTTGGGGCTATGTAAGTAGATACGTGCTAAAGCTGGTAAACTTCCCTGAGTTCTTGCAAGATGGATGATAGTTAGAGATTTAACAGAAGCAGATCATGCTAAGATTTGTTGATGAGCCTAATTTTTTTTGAGGTTTATTTTTTTAATGCTTCATTGTAACACTTTATTTTATGCTAGCCTGTTATAATAGACTTTGCTACCTTTCACCCTTCAGCTTCTGTGGAGTAGAGAAGAGCAGCTAACAGAAATGGAGAGTCTAGAAGGCTTATAGTTTGTAGCCATGGAAACAATACGTGCCTACGTGGGTTTTAGTCTGAAACAAAAATACTCTGCCTTTCAAAAGCAAGCACCTGCAATTCCTTCCTGCTCTACTTGGGAGTTGGGTTGCACAAACCCTTTGGAAACTAGTTGTTTGTTTAGTGTAAAGACCTAGAGCAGAAAATGTTGACCCTCATGTTTGACCTCCCAGGTGGAAAACTCACACTGTGGGAAGATTATAGTAATAATTTGCTTAACAGTGACACACTTACTCTTGCCCCTGCACGTCTCCCCAGCCTCCCTCCTGTGTAGCTGGGGCTGGTTGCACTCCAGAACACTTGCAGGGACATGAAAAGACTTTGTTGGGGAGGAAAGAAATAGGAAATGTCATTTGATTCAGGGAAATGTTTTTTCTGCTTGTTGAGTTTGAGTATATTTTAGCATTCTTTTGTAAGTGAAACGAAGATTTTACAGTATGCAAGAGCTTAGGTATAAGAATTCACACATCACAGTACCAGATTAATATTTTCTCACTTCAAAGCTTGTCTTTCTCTCTTGATGCTGATATAAGTCATATTACTTCGCATAGGCAGGTGTCTGGTTTGATCAGTTTAAATCAAGTCCTGTGAAACTGTGATGGCAAGAATTGCTTCTGTCATAGCAGTGAGGCATATCATCTTTTCAGGAGTGACATCTCCTCACAAATTAACTCTGTTCAGGCTCTTGTAGGCTTTCCAAAAGGCTCTTTGAGATAATCTCAAAGCCAAACATCTCTCTTTATATCTCTTCATTTCATTGTCCTCTTCTTAACAGCTCTTCGGCTCAGTCTTAGCTGTGGTCAGGTTTGCAATGACCCAAAAACTAACAGCAGTAAAACTGAAGGCAAACATGGAGGACTGAGAAAACCCTCTGAGTGCCCTGGGGAGGGCTGTGTGCAGTGAGGGACTGGTCTTTGTTAATGTCCTTCCAGTGGTGCAGCAGTTCCTGTGGCTGTGGGGGAAAGCAGAGGAGTTTGCAGAGCCCCAGGCAAATATCACTGCACCCAGGAGCTCACTGCTGCTGACAGGTGCAGCCTGTGAGCAGCACTGAGGATTGCCCTTGTCAGCCTGTACTGTAAGGCCCCAAGATGAGGTCTGGGGTGGGGGGGGGGCCCTGAGATAATTTCATACCAGATAACTGACTGTGATGATCTCTTCTGGTGTTCCATATAGTAACTGCTTTTCATAAGTATTGGGAACTTTGCAGTTGAGAGAACTGGGTTGGAGCAAAACTGTGTTGTCCATTGTCTGAAACATGTGACATAGTCATGAAACTGCGTTTCACTCTACAGTATTGGATTCACTCTACAGTATCATCACTCTTGAATTTGGAAGAAGCTGCTTGTTGATGCATTCCACAAATCGTTGCTCATTTCTGTGCAGCTATAACCTCTGTGAGGAGAATTGCCATAAAGCCTTCTGTTCTGAAGTTTCTTCTCAAACCCCAATAAGACAAAGTAATCCTAAAATGCCACTTTAAATTGCAATCCATACAGTTTTTCATCTAATATGATTTTTCTGCTAGTATTTTTCCTTAAATCTCCAGTCCTCTAGGTTCTTTGGGTTCTAAAACTTGGTTAAACTTCCCTAATGAAAGTCTTTTATGAAGTCCCTTGGGTTGTTTTCTGGTTTTGATCAAAGGCTCTAAGGGTTTTCCTACTTCAATCCAGAGTTTTTGAAATTTCTTTTCAGACTGACTGATGTTTCTGTCATAAAAGGGCTTAAAATCCCCTTTTCCTTGAGGACAGAATACTGACTTTTTCTGCAGCATCTGTCTGTCACATGCTAGTAGTTGAGATTTGCATGGCTGCTAAGTGGAACTTCTTCTTAAATATCTGTGATGTGTTGCTGTATGAGTAAGTAGCTTAGACCAAGCTGCCCGTTTTATTTGGGACAGCAAAGTTTCAGTTGTTTTTTGAGTATGTGCACTTCTCAGCCTGTTTTGGAAGGAACGTTGCTGTTTGTTAGCACATTCCTGAGTTTGCTGGAAAGCCTGAAAAACGGACATCTGCAGAAGAGAACCGTCCTCCAAATGTGGAATGCAGCGTGGTCCTTGAGAACACTGTCTCCTGACCGTCTTTGATTTCAGAGGATCTTGGGAGCTAGAGTGCCTGGGAGTGAGGTGGCTTTATTGATGCTGAAAGTTTGGGTGGAGCAGGGTGCCTGAGAAGCTTGATGGCTATGAAATAGGTTCAGATTTTTCAGGGCTGCAAATGCAGTCTCAGTCTGTATCTGCAGACGTCCTCCTCGGGAAGAACACCACCAGCAGCTTTGCTAGGTAGCCTCCTGAGGCTCTTCTCACTAAAAGCTTCATGGGTTTATGGTGTGATGGAGGCATCTTGCCCATCTGTCAGGGTCAGCATGCCCCCTGAGTAGAAACAGACAATTCCTGGGACAGAGTGT